ATAGTGGCATTGGAGGGGGAGTTTCAATGGAGGTGGTGGATTCCAGAATGAGGGTAATTCTAAATACTAAAGATGATGAAGGACATAGAGATTTTACTTAATAATGGAAGGCATAGAGGTTTGACTTAGAAGTTTCAATAATCAGATTGGATTCTGATTTGACCCGGATCCAATCTGAATCCAACTATGCCCTGTTTGGATGGAAAGGTACTAGTTTGCACACAGCCTCTGTTTGGATGTTTCATGCTTCATGATGACTATGATATTAATTTGTGAATGGTGGTGGCCATGTAATGTACTGCAACAACGACAATGAGATGCTTTGCCTACTGGCTACTATCCAATCCAATCTGATTCAATGGCATCATCATCATCCCTGTACCCCTATCACTACTTTGAAAGTAGTTGCAGGTTAAGTGCTTTTATATGGTAGTTTGTTGTGTTTCCTCCTTTTTCTTTAATATATTATATACATGTCTGTCTGTCTCAGTTGAGAAATTAGGGCCCATTCAATGACTTTAGACATCTAAGTTATCAAATTCCCTGCAATAGTACTGGCACACTTTCTTTCATTATAATCATGGCTAAATTGCTGGAAAAGAAAGCTTACTGCACCACATAAATGGCACCAGTTCAGTAGATGGGAAGAATATAAGTTCATTCTGCTAAATTCAGAAGTGGGTCTCTACAAATACTCAATGAGGTTTCTTTTTTTTGCAGGGGATTGTGAATAAACCGAAATGTATAAGGTTGCATTATATTGGAATTGGATAAAGAATTAGATTTATCAAATCTACAAATCTCTGAATTTTGGGCAATCTCATCATCATCACAAAATTCAGAGAAACATGGAAATTCTTTTAGCCCCCGTTCATTTTTCGACAAGGTATTTACCCGGGTAAATGCATTTACCCGGACAAGTGTTTCTCAAGAAAGACTTATCTGGGTAAGTGCATTTACCCATGTTCTTTTATTTCTCATGTAAATTAGGCAATGACCATTTTAGCCATAAAAGTCTATTATTAAAAGGAGCATTTTTGTCCCATTCAAGTATTAGCAACTTCCCCCAGGTGGGAAAGTTATTTACCCACCTAGGAGATGGGTATCAATTAAAATAAACTTTCCTTGGTCCCCACATAAATCTGAAAAAAAGAATATGAGATTCTTGGTTAATGAGAATCAAAATCCCATGAGCCAACTTCCCCCCACTCCTCTCAAAATCCAGAAAAAGAACCCCCCTTGGTGAAATTCAAATTCCTTCTGCAAGCTGGTCATTTCATTTCCATGGGAACTGGAATTCAAATTCATTCCTCCAGATATCACAATTTACAAAAGCAGTCTAAAAGAAGCTGGAAGTGGTCCTCTCTTGACAATCACTTCTAGAAAAGCACAAAATATTGTTTTCCATTTTCTGCATTAGTTAATCATCCTTTCAAGTTAAGGTTGAGTTCTATTAAATTTAAAATTAGGTCAAGCCCAACTTGACAAATTGATGGGCCTTGCTGGAAGTGGTCATTGGTCATATCTTTGATAGAGAGAGGTTGTGATTTGTGAAGGTGCCTCATGTTCTAATCATGATTAATTCCTTGAGTTGTTAGCTAGGTTTCAAGGGCTGCTTTGGCTGATGGGTGTGGCCAAAAGGGGCCAGCCTATGTAATGGATCTCTCTTAGGCAGGAAGGTTTTCTGGTGGGCCAGGCCTGGACCTTATTTAGGTCTACTTAATTATGAATCCATGTCTGACCTAAACCTTTAGTTGGGCCATACTCAAGCCTGGTCTAGCCTTGGTTGGTAAATGTTAATACACAACAGTTGGAGCCCACTTAGCCTGACCCAGCTTGTTGACAGCCATAATGGTCTGTTTGAAATGTAAATTCTGAATCAGCTCAAATCAGTATCACTGTTCATCAAAAGCCTTGACCCAAGGAACATTATGGCAAAGTCTTCGTTATTCCAAAAGTTTGATTTTGCTTAGCCAAGGTCTATATTGTATATAGTGGATATTTCATATTTGTCTTAAGTTCTGTGCAATTTATTAAAGTTAAATTCAAATACCATATATCATTTAAGATTAATACTTATACACATGTGTAACATGCGTTCTTTCACTAGTTTTGTAAATGTTCATAAATAAGAGGAAGAGCGCAATTTCTACTACACTCTCCATTTGGCTATAAGTGAATCAAATTAGATCTAAAAGTATGATATATTTATTAAATGAATTTTTTCGATGAAAAAAATAGAATTACCATTAAAAAAAAAAGGACAACCCAACCAACAAGCCTCCTCATAAAAAAATTTAGCCCGACAAACTACTTCATGGGCTAAACTATTCTTCGACCTAAAAACATACTTAAACAAGACAGGCATGTTTACCTTCAAAAAAAGAATATGGTCCACCAAAGGCCACTAAGTCAAGTGGAACACACCCCAACACCAGAATTTCAAAGGTTTACAGCAATCAAAGAGTCCGAGAAGATAACAATATTGTCAAACTCCTAATTGGAAGCAAACAAAACAACAACTAGGATAGCCCTCAACTCCATTTTCACCACAGATTACAAGTATTGCCCTCCTGCAACATTAGATATTACTTGATCAATTCCACATTTCCACTTATAAATACATATATAAAATATAGTTTTATCATTAATGTTTTTTACAATTAAGTTGGATTTAGAATTTAGATACATTTATTTTTCATTTATAATATATATTTTTTGTTTTGTATGTAATTTTTATATATTATAATTAAACCAAATACTTGGATACATAAACGAATTGAATTCGAATATATGTTATGTATTTTGCATATCCTTTAGATATCAGATCGAATTTGGTTATACCTCTATTTCAGTTTGATCTTATCTATTTGCAGCCATAATGGTTTTTTAGTGGTTTTGAGTAGTGACTTGGGGTGAATGATCGAACATTTAGTATATGTTTGGTTCTGTTTATATTTATTGACTAAACAATGCCACATAGGCATCTTATCAACAAATGCCTCATTAATTGCATTTGTATGTATCGATGTTTGTAAAAGCAAACTTCGGTTTCTGTGCGTCTCTCCTGTTTCAGGAAGCTTCATTTTGGAGCTTCTTGAAACATATAGGCGTTTATTGGCATTTTGCTGATGTAGTGCCTAATGACGCCTACTCATTAATTGTTTTTACCGATTTTGCAGTCACACAAGTACAAAACGTTTATTCAATAAACATAAATAGAACCAAACACCCTCTAACAATATTGAGGCTATATTTGGCTTGAAAGAAAAAAGTAGAAAAATGAAGGAAAAAATAGTCCCTATTCCTTGTAAACCAAACACAACCTAAATGGCATTCAAAACTTTTTTTTTTTTTTATTTGTTACCAAACTTTTTAACCCCCCAAACCTAATTTGTGTCTCGTGTCCATCTTATCATAAGTTTTGGCTACCAAACCATCATGAATACCAACTTAAGCCCAAGATCCCTAATCATAAGAAACCCAAGAGCTATTCCTCTTGATTGTTAAGTCATAGCAATACATCACAATTGTCGGTTTCAGCTCAGCAACTTCATATTATACATGCCACGTGGCTAGCTTTTCCGAGTGACCTGCATGTTCCTTTATTTCTTGGTGTTTTTATTGCTTAGTCTCTCTTAGAAATCCTTAATGCGTTCGTACAGTTTGATGCAGTGTTAAGGGGGTGTGGCCCGTGTGGACAAATACATCTGGGAAACCAATAAAATATTCTAAGGTGATTGAATTATAAATATGATTTTTTTTTATATTAAAATATTATAATGTGATTGAACTATAAATATGACTTTTTTTTACACGTGATGCAGCTTTGGCCCCTTTTGGGGAGGAGTGATATATGCTAAACCCAATTAGCGGGTTAATTGTGGTTAGACCTGTTTATGGGCCAGGTAGCCTGACGGCCCAGCCCGTTATAAGTTAGGCTGATTATAATTTTAGGCTTGTGGGTTTGGGCTCGGGTTTAAAACTTTAGATTTAACTTTTTTTCAGATTGGGCTTCGACTTTCTCAAAAAAGCCTAATTCGAGCCCGGCATGATACTATATATATTAAATACTAAAAAATATATATATAATATTTTTCTTTGTTTTTTTTCTCTTTTTATTGAAGTAATAGTAAAATATTTATTATTTTTGAGTTTTGAAAATTTTTAATATAAATAAAACACTTTTTATTAAATATAAAAGAAAATAAATTTATATTTTCAAATTTTTAACCAAGTTCAAGCTCAGACCCGAGTTTTAGGTCAGGCTTAAACTCAAGACTTAGGCCCGATGATCAGGCCGGACTTAGATTTGGGCTGAATGTATTCTGTTGATATGCATAGCACTAGAATTCAGTACATGGAGAGATACCGTCTGGCTAATTAAACTATTGGATCATTAGCAAACTATCAAAACTATTTGAATGTATATATTGATCCGTGATTGAAGACTTCGGGTGTGAATGACTAAACATGAAGACAACCCCACATAGAATCCAATCCATCCATCTCTTCAAAACACACATACAAAGTATGTCACAATCCCAATATCTGGAGTAAGTGTGATTTTGGACCGCCCAATCCAATATCATATTTAGGTAATTTCGGTTACCAACCCATCTATTATCTAAACAAGTAGAAGGCTAGAATCTATAGCCCCCTGTACCAGCATATTTTGAGAGATGCAAGTTAGCAAACGAAGGCTGCCAAAAATCGCTACATTTTAAACCCTTCTTTTCTCGGTTTCTCCCACAAAGCCAAGAGAGATAGAGAGAGAGAGGAGAGAGAAAGAACCTGAACAAATCAAAGGCCAAAGGCAAGCACGTTTGTTACACAACCAGCTTGCTTTCTCTTCTTTAAACGGCCGAGGTCAGAGACAGACAGACAGGGTTAGAGAAAGAGAGGGAGAGGAGTGAGAGTGAGAGTGAGAGTGAGAGTGAGAGAGGGGGTAAAAAAGAGAGACAGGGAGAGAGAAAGAGAGGAGAGAGAGAGAGAGAGAGAGAGAGAGAGAGAGAGAGAGTGTGAGAGAGGAGGTAAAAAGGAGAAGGAATCGCTTCACCGTTCACCCCTTGTTCTTTATATTGAAAATAAATAAAAAATAATAAAAGAAGAAAAGAAAAAAACAAAAGCAAAAATCTTCCACCAGCTTTTCCTCTCTCATTCCTTTCTTTCCTTTCTCTCTTTCTTACTTTCTTCCGTCGCGTTCTACCACCTCTCTTATCTCAAGGATTCTTTTCCCGAAATCCCCTCGAATAATCGTTTTATTTTTTCTTCGGATAAATTCGAATCGGTTTGTCTTCAGATCCGTGGATAATCTTCGAATTTCTGCTTTTCTTGCTGATAAATTCTGGGCATTTTTTTTTTGTTTGGTTTCCGCTGTTATATTTTATAGTTTTGGTTAGAGATTTCCTTTTTGGGGGGATTGGGTTTCAATCGAATTCGATCTTTTCAGCAATGTCGGTTGACGGTGCGGGAATTAGGGTTTCAATTCGCAGCTGGTAAGCAGAGATTTAGGGTTTGTTTCCTCTGGTGATGTAGATTCTGGGATCAGTTTTTGTTTGTAGTAGATCGGCTTTGTTGGATTTGGGAGGAGGTTCAGGGGTTCTGGTTTGGTGGTCGATGAGGAGGATCGTTTAATCGGTAATTGTTGTTTTACGCGGTTTTGCGTGCGCCCCTTAGCTGGAACCTAAGCGATTTGAGGGAATTTTTGTTGAAATATTGAAGAAACGGAAGGTTTCTTTGTTTATTAGTTGCACTGTGAAATTTTGCGACTCTGTGGATCTCTTGTGAGATATAGGGATATTAGAGGAGGATTTGAAGACGGATCATTGAGGGTTCAGTTATTTATGTTTTGGAAGGGTGAAGAATTTGGTCGGAATCTGAGCAAGGGAGAGGCTAAGGTTGTCATCATATTTAAGCGATTGGGTTGAGGTCTTTTTAACGGGATTGAATCATGGAGCATGTTATTGGTGGGAAGTTTAAGCTTGGGAGGAAGATCGGGAGCGGATCTTTCGGTGAGCTATATCTAGGTATGCTGCTGGTTGTTCCTTTCTGGCATACTGATTCTCTTTCATAATCGTCTTTTTCTGCATTGTGCATTCACGTATTTTCTCTTTCCTGATAAGTTATTGTTTTGGTGGTTCAATTTGATTTAGGGGTTAATGTCCAAAGTGGAGAAGAAGTGGCTATCAAACTGGTAAGTCGTCCATCTTTTTCTGGAGAACTGCACTTGCACTTAGTGTTGGATAGGATCTAATTTACCGTTGGCATGTGTTAGAATGTTAATTCAGTAACTTTTCCTTGATATCTGGATTAAGCAGATGCCACTTCTTCTTTTGTTGTGATTTTGCTCTCTGAGCATTGGTTATGTCCTTAAGGGGAAAAACCGTTTGATTTGTAACATTAAATGAAGGGAACAAAAAAAGTTGCTTCCATTTTTTTGGTTCCGCTAGTTATGACATATTGAATCTACTTTTTTTATAACCAAGTTCTCAATCTCTTCGGTAAAAGTGGTCTCTCTTTTCCAGATTCCCTACCTTTGGCATCTGTAATGGAATTTCCATTTTTTCTGTACTAAGCAAATCAAATACGCAACTCTTTTGTCTCTCTCTCATATGTATATTTGCCTTATCTAGATTTTTCACATAATCACCTCCCTGTACATGTTTGTATCGTCCTCCTCCTCGAATTTTTGGGCACAACTTTCCAAGCAATGAATTATGTATTTTGTGTCTGTTTTGCTTTTGGAATTCATATATTATATAAGTCAACAAGATCCTGTTCATCCATATCAGTTTGGAAGAGAAATAGTAAGAAACTAAAAATAGTTTTGATTAGAAATGGAAAACAGAGAAATTGAGAGTAATACCTTAGGCCTTTTAGGAGTTCCACTTGATATCCAGGATGGAAACATTTGCTACTACAACCACCATGGAAAACATTCAATCATCTTTTCATTTATTGAAAAGAAATAAATAAGGGATAAACAATTCTTCCTTTTTATTTTTTTATTGGGAACATAAAGAAGATTGCGTTTAGTTGGGAATAAGGCTTAGATGATGACGGGAGGAAGCTCCTGGTCTGCCGTCTGCCTTTTCTGGTGGTTGGTGGCTTTCATGTTTCATTGGCCCTTGTGGTTTTACGGGATCCTGGTTTTTTCTGTAATTGGGCTTGGTGTCATGTTGGAGCTTGCTGTCTTGATGGTCATCTGTTAGGGGCCAATTTGTACGGTTTTGGGTGTTCGGGTGGGATCTGTAGGGCCTGTTCGTTTGTTCTGAAGTCAGACATCCGAAAGTGCAATAATTACATTAAGAGGCATATTGGTATTAGTGAACTTTTCTTTCCTCTGAACTTTGAATGAAGAGAATGTTGTTCTGAATTCTGAAAATTATCAGATATCTATTTGACCCCATGTATTAGAGTTTTTGTTTGTCTTTTTGGGGGTATCATTGGAAAACAAAAAGTTGTATGATTACACTTTAAGAGATAAGAGATAAGATGATAAGAGGAAACGAACAACCATTTTTCTTTTAAAGTTAAAAGATTCATCTTAAGAGATAAGAGTTAAGAGGAAACGAACAGGCCCGTAGTTTTTCCTTTTTCTCTTGGGTGACCTCTGGTCACCTTCCTTTTATTAATTTCTTTTTCTTTCAATAAATTTTATTTTATTATAAAARAGCTTAGATGATGATGATAAAGAAGATTGCATTTCAGAAAAAAGATAGGAAGTATGCTCCCTATATGATCTAGGGAAACCAAAAAAAGCATGGACACTAAACATACTCGTTGTTGAAATATGATTATTACAAATATTATACCCTCCCAAAAACTTCCCAAAATAAGTTTTTGCTCCCCACACTTTTCCACTTGAATGATCTTTTCAAAGAGGATGGCAAAGATTGAGCTTCTCTAATCATGTGTTTTAGCATCCATCCAATAGCCACTTGGAAATCTCCTGCTAACATCCTTTCCAAGCCCAGCAAAGGGGTTGCATTTCCTTCATCAATCAGTCATGAATATCGAAGAATCATCTCACCATCATGTCTTTGATAAGCTACTTGTACGTGTTACTTTTTTATTTTTCTGCTCATGGTCTTCAGCTTCAGCATTTTCTACCATAGACTTAGGGGCCATTTGATGACGGATGAAGTAGCTGAACCAAAGACATATTGCTTTATCTTTTAGTGGATAAAATAATTAAATGTAAAATATCTGGGGGTATAATAACCAACCTAATTTCAGTTTAAGCCATTAAGAAGCTCACAACCTCCTTAATAACTTATTCATTAAAAGAAAAGCAAAAAGTCATTCAGTTAAGGAGCTATTTAATAACTGTTAAATTGGCTGAGTTGAGTTACTTCTTGCTTTTTGTCTAGTGAATAAGTAATTCAGTTAGGAGAGTTCTATTTAATTGCAACATGGCATGTTGGAAATTGGAATGACGGAGTGGTCAGTAATAGCTAATATTTCTACCAGGAAAAATAGAAGTTTGGTAGAATGGAATCCACCTCCAAAAGGTGTCATCAAATTAAATTTTGATGGGAGCAGCCAAGGTAGCCCTGGGCCTTCAGGTATAGGGGGTGTTACGAGGAATAAGGGCAGCAACATCATCTCCTTATTCTCAGACCCGGTGGGAGTGGGGGACTCTACAAGGGCAGAAATACTAGCGGCTGTAGAAGGGGTCCAGATTGCCAACCAGCTTGGGGTGGAACATCTCCTAGTTAAAGGGGGCTCACAGGTGGTAACAGGGTGGCTTCTAACCCAGATGCTACCATTTGGAGGTACAAAGACCTCATCAAAACGGTGAAGTGGTTAACCAGTAATATGGGAGTTGAGGTTAAATGGGTAAGCAGGTCGGCTAATACTATGGCCGTTTTTTTGGCCAAACGGGGGGTTTCCAGGGAAGGTCTTTTTTGTGCTACATTGTAACTTGTTCTAGTATATTGGAAAGCTGTACTTAACTAGCTTGGAGAGGTTGCATCTCCTGCCTCTCTTTGGGGACCTTGTACTAATTATCATTGCTGATTAATAAATTTCATTCAATTATCAAAAAAAAAAAAAAATTGGAATGACCAATTGGCCACTACTCCTAATATTTCATTCTATGACTATTTTATCCACCAAAAGGCGAATCGATAAGTAATTCAGTCCATCTAATTCAACAGTTATCAGATTGCCCCTTAGCATTTGCTACTAGTGACCATTGTGAAAGCATGTAATCTTCTTTCCATTTTTTGAAAAGGAACAATGGAGAATATTGAACTTTTATTTTGTATATTTGGTTTTATGCATTTTTCTACAATGGGACATAGAATACTTATTCCTTGAATATTCAACCTAAACTTCCCTTGATATTTTACTCAGGAATCTGTGAAGACTAAGCACCCTCAACTTCACTATGAATCAAAGTTATATATGCTTCTTCAAGGAGGAAGTAAGTTTCTCCTCCTTTTCTTTGTTCTTTATTTCTTTCTTTTTTCCTTTTTCTTTTTGACTGTAGCAGATGATTTGATAACAGAGTAGGAAGTAGATTTATATAGGAAAAATGGTTTCTTTTGTATGATGAATCATCAGAAAACTGGATGCAGTTAATTTGCTTAACAACTTAAACTTGGAGTTCAATCTGATTTATTTGTTTTATGTGAAGCGGGAGTTCCCCACCTGAAGTGGTTTGGAGTTGAGGGTGAGTACAATGTAATGGTTATTGACCTTCTTGGGCCAAGCCTGGAAGACTTATTCAACTACTGCAATCGGAAATTCTCATTAAAAACAGTTCTGATGCTTGCTGATCAATTAGTAAGTATAAGTTATTTGGTTTATAAAACTAAGTCTCTACCTGATTTTTAAGCTGTCTTTAAATATTCCACCCACCCCTTTTTCTAGATTAACAGAGTTGAGTATATGCACTCAAGGGGCTTTCTTCACCGTGACATAAAGCCTGACAACTTTTTAATGGGTTTAGGGCGTAGAGCAAATCAGGTATTGCCTTTTTTTAATAATAATTCTTGCTTAAGCAATAGCTTCATTATCTGCATATCAGATATTACATGGGCTTGTTTCCTCTACTTGGAGTTGCTTGATTTTTCCTTTAGCCATGGTGATCTTTTCTAATTCCCTATATACTATGTGTGTTTTATTCTCAACTTGGTTTTGCTGTAATAAATGATAATGCGCCAGGAAAAAAAAGCATCATGCATTCTTTATCAGTATCTTCTTGGTTCACCCACCAGGCATCTTCTGGTACATGCATATGTGCATGTCTCTTGCACTTAAATGGCCCTAATAGATCTGGTATGAATGCCCTTGGAATGGATAATTGAGACATTTAAAGCATAAGATACAGCTGTTAAAAGAACAATTGAGCAAATTTTTGGCATTGCATCACCATCTAATTATTGGTGGCTAGGGTTGCTAGGCAGAATCCCTTGTTCAGCTGGTCTCTTGGTATTTGCATACTCGGCTATTTTTTAAGAGGGTACAAGGAGGCAGTATGGGCTATTTTTTGTCAATAATGCTTAAACTATTTCGTATTACTTCCACCCAAGTCTAATGGAGGTCCTAGCATGAGCATGAAAAGACAAATAAGGATCCATGATCACGAGAGTTTGGCAAAAGTTTTAGCGCCAGCTGCCAACCTGATGCAACCCTCCTTTTCTGTACTTGGGACTGGCCTTGTAAGACAAACAGTGGTGTAATTGTCATGCTGAAGCATCCCTATCAATGGGCCAGCTTATTCTACCCACCCCTATTTTTCTATTCATGTTACTAGTTAACCCTTTTAGAAGATGAAACCTTAAAGCAGCTTATTCCCACTCATTGGCTGTCTTGCTATTGCATCACCTGTACTGTTGGCTGATCTTGCTGTCCACCTATATCTGATTCCAAGCTTGCTTAACATCTTTTTAGTTTTTAATGCCTCAGGGTTCATGTCTATAGTGACATAATCCCACACCATCATTTATAAGCCACCTAACTACAATGTGGGAATCTCTTTCTACCAATAAGTTACTGAAATTTAGCATCTTAACCAACATGTCTTCTATTACTTGGTGTGATGATAAAGTCTTGGGCTCACAAGCATGGAAATGCAGGTTTAGGTTTTCTGGATCCTTTGTTGAAATTGTGCAATAGACTTATGGTTTTAGCTTGTAGAAGCATCTTTTTATGGAATTCATATGGTCATGGAAATTCTAGCTCAGGGAACAAGGCAGTTTTCATACTCTCATGTTTATTTTTTTTTTCCAATGAAGGGAAAATGGTGTGGGGCCAAAATCCAAGAAAATGGAAGCCAAATCCATACTTTTCTCTTGGTCTATATGGGCCTTCATGTGGCTATCTTGATTTGCTAGCTATCAAATCTTCACATATACATGTGAACCCAACCAAATTCCGTGAGTGTTAAAACTTAAAAGTTGGAATAAGTTGAGCCTTCCAAAAACCAATAAGTTAGATGTCAACTTAAGTGCAACCGACATGATTTGGCTTTAATGCTCCTGATCAAATCTTTGACTGGATTCTGAATATGCTGAATGATGGGTGGATCCTGAAGATTTGAATGGGTTTTTAGTTACAAGTATAGTAGTCGATCAAGACTACAATCAGTCTTGAATCCCAACTGATTTCAGATTGAGAAAAAATAGAAGGAAGAGGAAGAAGAAAGGAGAAGAAGCAGAAGTGCACAAGGGWTTTGAAAGGAGGGACAGATTGAATGAGTCTGYCGCYGCCACTCTCTTAATATTTATAGGTTATGTTCACTAAATGTAGGAAATGACAGAACTGCCCTTAATACTTACATGGCAAATAAAACAAATAAAAGACTGAAATAACAAGCTGTCTAAGATAACTACCAACTAACACTGACATGACTAACAAAGGTTACACATGCTGTCATACGAACACAGTGGGGACCACAGCCGTGGGGCCCACATCAGTGTTCTCTACACTCCCCCTCAAGTTGGGAATAGATATTTGTCATTCCCAACTTGAATAGGTCTGCCTCTAACTTCTTCTTTGGTACAACCTTGGTGAGAAGATCTGCGAGCTGCATGTTGGAGGTGATATACAGGAGACACACTTCCTGTGATGAGACCCTCTCTCTGACAAAATGTCAATCAACTTCGGTATGCTTAGTTCTGTCATGCTTTACCGGATTGTGAGCTATATTAATAGCGGCCTGATTATCACAATACAACATCAAGGGCTTCTCATAATCAATACCCAACTCTTCAAGTAGCATTTCAGCCACTCCGTTAGCAACTGGCCTGTATTCAGCTTCGGCACTAGAGCGGGAAACAACACTTTGTTTCTTACTCCTCCAAAAAACAAGGTTACCTCCCACAAGGGCACAATATCCAGAGGTAGACCTCCTGTCATCAGCACTCCCAGCCCAATCAACATTTGTATAGACCTCCACCTTCATGTGATTATTGTTCTTGAGCAATATACCTCTACTTGGGCATCTCTTCAAGTATGCTAATATTCTTTTTGCTGCAAGAAGATGAGTAGTTCTAGGGGAATGCATGTGGCTGACAACACTGACTGCATAACTGATATCTGGCCGAGTGAGGCAGAGATATAGGAGCTTTCCAACCAACCGTTGGAACATAACTTTGTCTTC